TCATTCACCCTCCTTCCCCTTGCAAAGGCCCCAACGCCCTCCCCTACTAAAACCAAAGGACCCAAGTACTTTCGTTTGTTACAGGGGTGAGTAGAGGGCATGCTACTAAGCTCTCAGAGGCCTCAAGAGGTGTATCTGAACACAATGTACCTACACACACAATCAGTGGAAGAAGCTATATGACACACCACCAAATAGGGGTTTGGTTTGTTTGTTTGTTTTTTGGTTTTACAAATGTGATTCACGATCAGTCCTCAGCTGTCATGAATATTTATAAATTACATAGGTACTACAGATTTTCAGAGGCCAGCACAGCACAAAAGTTCAAAGATTCTCATACCCAAAAAGTGACAGGCTGATGGCACTTTTTTAAAAGTCGATCTCACTTTGTAGTACAGGCTCAAACTTACTATGTAGCCCAGTCTGGCCTCAAACGCACGGTGAACCCATGCTTGAGGCAGACGCCACCATGCCTGGCTGACCTCAGCTTTTAAATCCCAGATCACAATGATCTGACAAAACCATGTACTGACTTCCATGCAGGCAGTAGAAAAGAGATGGTAGGAAGGAAAAAGCAGGAATCTGTTCTAATTTTCAGTCTAAAAAAGAAGCTTACTGGAGTAGATAACCTAAATCTTATAGTCAAGTGTAATCCTAAAAAGGAAAAAGATAGCACTCTGGGTATTAGTATTTAGTGACCTTTATATGCTAGGTACTCTTGTATTCCCACTCCATACATAACCAAGGACAAGGCTACAGAATGGGCATGACCAGTTTCCTGCTTCACAGGTAAGGAAACAGAGGCCCAAAGGAGTCATTTGCCCTGACTCTGCTAGTAAGTGCTTGAGCGAGGCTCCAAACCCAGCACTTACAGGCTGGAAAGCAAGCAAACATAGGAGAGACCTTCGAGGAGCTGACAGAAAGAGCAGCCTGGGAGGAAACTCTCCATAGAGAGCTAACAGCCATCTGGGGCCACAGATAAAGAGGCCTTCACAGAGGGCTGGAGCGAGCCTGGGCAGAAGAACCTGAGACAACCTGCCTCCAGGCAGACAGACGGAGCCGCTCCCTGAGACCTCCAGAAGACAGGAGGTCAGGACAGAGCAGCGAAGACTGCTCCAGTCTGAAGTGAGCAACGGCTTCCAAAGAAACCACAAAATGTAAGTTTCCCCACTGGACCTTTTTCAGGAGCTAAACAGATTTACAAGCAAACAAATTCTGCTCACGTGCCACTAGGTAACCCTCTTTTCAACCACTGAGGGCCTATCAGTGGGGGCGAACCTATGGCACATGTTAATTTTTCTGTTACAGCAAAAAATGTTAACATATGAGATAGTTTTCTTAACTAAAACTCAGTATTCAGGCTTAATTGTAGTGTTTGCATTTTGTGATAAATATGTGGGTTTGTGGTTGCAGCCTGGGTGCTGGTCTCTACAAGGTTCAACATCACTGGATAGTGCTTCTGTGGGGAATTCACTTTGTGTTATGCCTCCCTTCCGGTTCAGGTCTCACTCTTTCTGGCTCACAACTATCTTCCAAACAGTTATCTTTGGAAAACTTAAACTCCCCAAAAACAAAGTCCAAAGCAATTAATAATTGAAATTAGTACCAACAAGGAAACAATAAAGATAGGATACTTTACAGTGAGTGTCCCTGGGACTCACATTTTACTGGAGGTGGAGTGTCAGTTGCATGTAATTGAAAGCTAGTCCACAATTGGGGGAAACCTAGTGTTTAATAGATATTCAGATCTCCCAGGGGTTCCAACAGTTAAAAACCATTCGTGGAAGGTGGATGAGCACAGTCATGCTCCACAAAAACAGTCAACTTACTACCAAGCTTTAAATTTCCTCTTTGCCCATGTTGGAGGTTTGTGCGTGGTGCTGAGCAAAACTCAATGTTGCACTTTCATTTCTGTGGTTCCCCTACTGCAGAAAGCTTACCTTAAAAGATGGTGAATACTACTGTTTCTCCAGGCACTGTCACTAAATACCTAAGAAAATTTCTCAGAAGAAATACCTAAGGGGTTCAGGGGAACTGTCAACATTTGGTGTGCGGCCATTCTGAATGATAAGTGGAACGGTTGGTTCTTCCAAGGTTGTCTAATCTCTATGTTCATTTTAGTGGTTTCCTATCTCTTTATGAGTTGTGTAACCAGACTAACTATAAAAATGAATACCTTTTTAATCAGATCATTTTATGGAGACTTTGATCTATAATTGCTGTCATTTCTCCAAAGACCATGCCCAGCTGGCCTTGAACATTGTTGAACTCTCCTTACTGCTTAAACTTTGGACTGTTTGCATTGGTAAATTTGGATTATGAAGACCTTGATAAGAAAAGAGCGTTAATTCCTTGGCATTGTTCTTCTGATTACCACCATAATATTCTCCCTGACATTTCATACACTCTCAAGTCTCAAATGCATGTATTCAGCTCTTCTTTGCATGATGAGTAATGTCATTATGGCTAGATTAGCAGAAAGATGAGAAAAGTGTAAGAATCATCCAACCAATGTGGCACTGTGAATTCTGAAATCTGTACTGAGACCAAATACATTCATTACAGCAATGATGGAAAGAGTTACCAGTACCCAACCAAAGGTTAAACCTGAAAGGCTAACCCACAGGGGAAAAATTCAATTAACTTTCACCCACCGTGGGCAAAGAAGAAATGTAAAGCTCTGTAGTGATATTTTTTTTCTTGAGCATGACTATCCTCATACTATTCTCCATAGACAGAGAATTATAATCTACTTAATATGTAAACAAGCTCTAACCTAACTTTAACCAATTCTTAGCCAACCTTAGCAGCCTAGCTTTCAGCCAGGCGTAGGCTGCAAACTGCATCCCAGTTTTCCAAGCACTGAGAGTGACCAACGGAGCTATTTCTACAGGTCACTTCTTACTTGTGTCATAGGTCCTGCCTCTCCACATTGCTTGGTTGAGGTCTCCAAACTTGTGCTGGATCAGGGTGCTGCTCACTCTATGAGACCTTCCTTTATTCAAATAAACTGCTAAATGCATTATGGCCAAAGTTGCGCTGTCATGTTGCTTGAGAAGCTGAAAAACCTACCAAAGTCACAATGCTAGGAAAAAGTAGAAACAGACCCTGAGCTTAAGAAGCCTGACTCCTCAGCCCATCTGTGTAATCCCCCAGCTCTCTCACTTCTACCACCTGATCCTACTCACTCCATCCTAATGCTCTGCTGCTTCTCTCTGATCTGTCTGACTTCCCTTCAGAGAAGAAATCTAATGAAGATTCCCTCTGTCTTCCCCTAGAAGGCCAGCCTAATGAATCTGCTACTCTGGACACAAAGAAATTATCTGGGAGAATATAAATGACGATACTGTGTAGTGAGAATGGAATTCTGGCTTACCAGGATGTTCTCATACATTATCTCAGGGCTCTGTGAGCTTTGCATCACGGAGCAGAAAACTACATCTCTGTATCTACAGCTCTCTAGTCTGCCGTGGGAGACATCTTCCATGCATCTGTTAAGGCAACTGCAACAGAGATTCTGCATTCTCCTTCTGCTCATCTGGTAAACAGCAAGAGATGCTGGGAATTGTAGGCAGCATGGGTTGTGCCAGAATCAACCATACTTCCTCCCTCCCCACTTAGAAAATGCCACACCACCTCCATCCTCCAGATGGCTCACCTCATTCTTTAACTTTCACATGAAATGACATTGATTCACAGAGAACTCCCTTGGCCGCCCAATCTAAATGACCATTTCCCACAATCTCATGTTATTATCATGGCACTCACCATATGAAGTAAGGATTTCCCTGACTGACCTGCTTGTTCTTGTTAGTGTGGCATTAATTTTCTAGGAATGTTATAACAAAATGTCATAAAAATGACGGCAGCTCGAACAACAAAACTATTCTTTCTCAGTTCTAGAGCCAGAAACTCAAATTTAAGGTAAGTACCCTCAGGGCTACCCTCACACTGAGGCTCTAGGTAGATATTTCCTCGCATCCTCTCAGTTCCTGGACATGGCCACTGGCCCATCGAGCTTCTTAGCTTATGGCTAGGTCACTCCAGTCTCGGCCTTGGTTATACATAGCATTCTATGTATGCGTCTCTGTGTTCAAATTGCCTTCATCTCCTATGGATATCAGTCTTGCTGGATTACTGCTAACCCTACTCTAGTGTGATCCCATCTTAATTTGCTTAATTATATCTTTGGGTCACCAGTGCTAGTTTCCAAAATACTCTCATATTGCTTACAGCTCACAGCCTGCAGTAATTCATCACAGCAGCCTTAGAGAGATACCACAAACAACTCACTGGGCTGTGTTAAACCCAGGGTTTCACACTTTTATTTGGCCAAATAAATATTATTCTTGTGGTTGGGTGGGAAATGTGTGTTTTAAGAAAGTAAATCTAATCTTCCTGTTTTAAGAAATCAAGATTCAAAGAGGATATGAGTGATATACTCGTGCACAGGAGGGAGGAGACAGCTCAGGCTCCAAGCCCCTTCTGAGTTCTCTTTACCATCAGATCGCTTGGGACTCCCTTTACTTCTGAGCTTCCCCAGGAAGTGAGCTGCCTTGTAGAACATTTGGCTTGCCTTTGTATTCCTCAGAAACACAACAGGGTACTTTTTCCAACTAAGAAGGGAATTTTGAAGGAAATTATTCAATATTTTTCCAGCCAGTAAGAGAAAGTATTGTCTTCTTAAAAGGGGTTGGGACAAATAAAATCACGATCCAGTTACAAAAGCACCCACTTCCACGTGAATTGTAACTAACAGAGGCTTGGGTACATGAAAATACTACTGAGCTATCCTACCACCCTTCATGCCTAAGGAAAGACAGCAGAGAGTATGAACACTTTCTGTACAAAAAGGAGCTTAGCTTGACTACCCCATGTGGACATTTCAATCCATCTCCTTCTTCTCTTTTTGGCTCCTAAAACTCTCTCCTTCCCAGACATGAGAAAGTCACCAAAAGCAATCCACCCCAGCTCTGGAAAAGGGAAGATGCTTCTCCTACCTTCCACCTGATAGGCTGCGGTGGCAGCCCCCCAACCAAATCCTGCCGGGAAAGCCATGGTTCCAGAAACTACAAAGAGTTCAACACCCTGCAGCCAGAGGAGTTAGGTAACTGCAAGTGTGAAGTGAACTCTCACCCCAGAGGAAATGTCAACATGAATACATACATGTGCAAACAAGCAGGGAGTCAGATTACAGGATCTCACTTGACTGGCCAGAGCCCTGCTAAGAATGCCAATCACTGTACACAAGGTAAGTGACTCTACCTTCTCCTCCAGCCCTCTCTAGATGCCCCAGGGTGCCAAGTTCATCTTTCACTTTAATGAAACACATGGCTACTGTTTATTAAAGTTATATAGTTTACTAGAACTTTTCCTTAGCCAATTCCTCCCAATTCCTGATCTTTCTCCCTAGCTATATCCCATTTTCAAGTTTCTCCTGGTATTTTTTCCCATTCTATTTAAATAATAGGTTCGTATTATTGCTTCTTAACTTTCTTTTAAATATTCACTTCTGCATATAGGAACGAAAGATCTAGAGTATCAGGTTTCTCTATCTCTCTCCTCCTGCCCCCAGCCTCCCTCTCTCCCTCATCCTTCCACTCATAGCCCTAAATTCAATCCCCAGCACCACACACACATGCACAAAAAATTCCAAGTTGGACCATATAATATGCCATGCTCACAAGGATAACATAATTTTTGCTTTTTGTTTTTGAATCAGAGTCTCACTATGTAGTTCAGATTGACCTTCGAACTCACTATGTACCCCAGGCTGGCCTCGAATTTCAGGCAGTTCTCCTGACTCAGCCTCTCAAATGTTGGGATTACAGGTATGCATCACCAGGTCAAATTTTTATTTTCTCTGGAACTCATCAGCTGTCTGATCTTTATAATTATTTTTCTCTGCACATATTACTAATTCATTCTCATTTACTTGGATAGAACTGTAAATCTCTGAGTTGTTCATGACTGCTTTCCTGTTCCATTTCATATTGTACATGTTTAGGCCACCTCCGAGTTATAGTCCACAATCCCCATCACGTCATTGAGAAGGTCCCTTCATTTCTCTTCTTGTCTTTCTCTTTGTGCTTCTTCCTTTCCAAGAAAATTCCTCAGATCACTTTTTGTTAAAGGGGCTATGGAAATCAAAAATTTTGACATGCTGTGGTTCCAAAATTGTCTTTAGTTTAACATCACACTTCTTATGCAATTTAGTTATTACTGAATTATATGACAAATAATTTCCACTTAGAACTTTGAAGGCATTGCTTTAGGATTTTTCTAGCTTCCAGAACCACTGTTGAGCAGTTCACTGGCAATCAGAGTCCCTCTCCTTTATGTAGAACCTGTTTTGTGCTTCTAGCCCTTCCCTGCTGTGCCCCAAGCTTCTGTTTCTGAAATGATACAGCCATGCGCCTCGATGTGAGACTTTCCTTCCACTGTGCCTGGCACCCCATGGGTGTTCAATGGTCAAACAGATCATTGACAACAGGCAAAACTCGATGACAGTTCACTATTGTTGCAACTTTTCCATAAGACTAAAACTGATTCAAAATTTTTTAAAAGCCTGTGGAGAGAGGATTAGGCAAAAGTGGTGAGCAAAGTTAGTTACCTGGTGCCCTTAAGCCTGCACTGAATCATCCCATGTTGTGTAGGGGTGGAACAGAAAGTTTGGAAGGAAGCAGAAGTTGAAATCCTACCCTCTTCAGCTATCCTAACCCAAAAAGAAAAAGAAGAGCTTAGACTTAAAAGCCAAGGAAGAAAGACAGTTAAGACATCTAAAAGCATCTGATGGATAAACATCAAGAACGAAGCTCAAGCTATTAAATTTAGCAGCTACAGTCACTGAGTTCTGAAGCAACCATTGTAAAGCAAATGAAAAATAAATATTGAAATATTTTCATTTGTAAGCACTAGATGGCAGTGTTGCAATTTTTTAGGTTTCCAAGAGGCTAAACAAAGTAGCATGAATGTTTAGCATCCCACCCGTGACAGTGTAGTCCACTAGCTCCTAGCTGATTACCACAGCTCTTCTAAAGATTCTTCTCCAGAAATAATATATACTCTCAATATTCCACATTCTCTAAAGTCATTTGCCCACGAATGGCAGGATTTCACTTTTTTCTACCGTGATCTGATTCTCTGGTACAGTGTCTAGCTTTTGGTGCCAGGAATTCTTCTTTCTTAAAAACACTCAATGTTGCTGCAGAGTAGCTTTTCTTTCCTTTAATGTGAGATGGATGCATAGAGAGGGAATGTTTGCTTTATTACACATTAAAGCAGAGATTTTTTAAAGTACTTATAGTTAATTTTAAAAAGCAATGTAATATGAGTATTTTATGAAAACTGACTATAGAATATGCAACAAAAGAGAAACCCAAAAGGTAAATAGGAAGCATTATAGAGGATGGATGTTGGGAAGTAGTATAAATATGTTCAAATAGGAAGGGAAACAAGGGAGGAAGGAGAAGGAAGGAAAGAAAGGAAAAGAAAAAAGAGAATAAAAGATGGAAACAAAGTGTTGTAAATAGGAATGGAAAGAGGTGATGAGGGGTGGGGATGAGAATGGGGGAAAAAGTAAGATATATTCTGTACAGATACAAATTTCCCATGATGAGTGTAGCCAGTATGTATGGCAAATATGCACTAATAAAAAGTAAAGCAAACAAAAATAGATGCACACTGGGTTGGTTAAAAAAAAGAATACGAAACAAGAGTTTTGTGAGAAGACGGACTCTTTTATATTGTTACAAGTCTCTGTCGTGCCTGGTGTAGCAGAAGACAATTAGATCCTCGTATTTTCTTCTTATTCAGTTCGCTGCCCATAGAAAACTCCTTCACACACTCAGAAAAGTGAGAAATGAGAGTGATAAAGGAAGGCATGTATTAGTATCACTCTTATAATAGGTTTGATCTTTTGAGTCCTGATAGGAAACTTGAGGTCCCTGTGGTCCACAGATCACACTTCAAAAACTGAAGTTCTCTGAGTGTCTACTCACTACCCTTCTATGGTACCTTCCATCGTCACCCCAAATCCTTCTGCATCCTTCTCATTTTTCAAAGGCTCCTTTCCCTAACATCCCCTTAACTAAGGTCTTTGTGGTTCTAAGACATGAGTTTCAAATGGGAAAGAATAGTTATGCTTTTTCATTTTCTTTGTATGAAAAGAATTCTGACTCCATGATTTCATCCAGAAAAACTGGCTGAAAATTTAACTTGTCATGATTTGGATCCATTCCATTTTAGGACAATAAAGAAACTTTAGGTTTTATGAGGACCATTTTTTTTTAATTTTTTGCCTCATGTTCCTAATTCCCCATTCCCACATTTTTCTCCCAGGACTTCTTGACACTGGTAAAAATAGTTGATACTGCTAAGGAGTTAAGGTTAGGGTTAGGGTTAGGGTTAGGGTTAGGGTTAGGGTTAGGGTTAGGATCACATCAGGTCCACTGGCTCCCATGAGTTGCTTTATCTTTTAAAGTGTTAGGGAGCAAACCTAGAATTTGTGCATGCTAAGCATATGCTTGACAAACAAGCTACACTGTCATCTGTTTAGTCATATTTCCACGTCAGAGACAAATATCCTACACCTGAAACACAAAGGAAGAGAGGTGTATCTGCACTCGTGGCTTCAGTGGGTTCAGTCTATAATCAGTTGACTTGAAGGCAGAAGTGGCATGGTAGAAAGACATTATGAAGAGCAGCTGCTTACCTCTTTGCAGCCAGGAAAGAGAGAGAGAGCGAGAGAGAGCGAGAGCGAGAGCGAGAGCGAGAGAGAGAGAGAGAGAGAGAGAGAGAGAGAGAGAGAGGCACATCACACTGCCAGTGACCAACTTCCTACCAGGACCCACTTTCTACCAACACACTCAGGACTGAACTCATTCATGGATGAATCCACTGATGAGTATAATGCCCTCTATAACTCAACCAATTCCCAGAGAAAAGACTTCTGGGGATGTTTTAGAGTTGTATCATAGCACCAGCTTGTTGACTCCCCATTTAGGAACACAAATCATTCTAATAGAACAAATATGAGGTCTTAAATTCATCTACTCTCATCACAATCACGCACTAATCTTTTTGACATTTCTTTGCTATTCACAAGACTGAATCATCACCTTATGTCTACTTCCCAAGCTGGAGCAAGTATAAGGTCCATGCATGATGTGTCTGTCTTCATGTATGCTCTTTCCAGAAAAATCCAGGGAGTGCTGAGAGACTGTCAATTCAGTGCCCTATAAGTCTTTTTAAACAATCTTTCATGAAACTCCTTTAACTGCAATACAAAGAATTGTTTAATAATTCCACTAGTCATCACCCTCACTCTCCCAATTTGAAAAGCCAAGACTCAAAAACTGAAGATTCCTGAGTACTTGTGCTAAGAGAAAAGTAAGGATCTAAGTGAGATCTGTCTATAGCAAAGAAGCCTGTGTAGTAGAACCAATTCTGCATGCTTCTCCACTGAAGCCTACATTTAGACACCACCTGTCAGTTTGCCTGCACATAGGGGTAGCCCCATGTCTGTCTCTTGGCCATTAGAGTTGGGAGAAAGGAATATGTGTTCTGCCAGACTGATTCAATAAACCCTACATGTACAATGACAGTGCTCGGGTTTTACCCACAAGTCATCATTCCTCTCATGCATGGACTGGATATAGGGTCTCCACAGGGAGGCTCAAAGCTCTAGGGGACAGAAGCCTGCTCTCTGCATCACTGCACGAGGCCAGACCCAGTACAAACCACCTTCTAAAAACCCACTCTGAACTTGATATGAACAATATATAAACTTTACTTTTGTAAATCACTGTGATTGGGGTACTGTTAATAAATGTTAAATACACTCTGAATAGGAAATATCTATAGGTGTAATGCGTATATATTCTATATTCTCCATATATTATATATAATACCTTTGTATATAATATGATTATATATTATAAATATTCACAGAAGTGGGGTTCAAAGCACTTTCCTCTAGCAAGGAGTAGAAGGCAGCTCTTTAGTGCGATCGTGTCACTACCTAGGAAAGAGAAAATACAGAAGGGCCAGCTGAGGTGAGGCACACTGTAATGGTTGACACACTGTGTCAACTTTGAAAATTTACAAGTTTAA